AATTAAACTAAAACACATGCTCACCACAAGAACTGAGTTGAGACTGGGGTTTTCTCCTCAAAACCTGGAGGTATCTGGTCTCTTCTGGCCTCTGCACTGTGATCTTGTATTGACTTCTAGGTCAGACACCTCTCTCTTCTTTTGGTTTCACTTACATGTCTTTCATAGTAGTTATTGATTCAGAAACACCAAGAACAAGAAAGTCTTGACCTCCCACCAGCCTCTCTGGATTTGATTACCAGTGATGGATAGTCTGAGCAGAATTTAATGCTTTCTAATTTTCCTTGATAGGGTCTATGAAGCACGTTACTATTTTTTTATCCCAACTGGCAGCTCAACAAAGCCCAGCAATATAAAGCTCCATTTGTGTAATAAACTGTTGTACAATCTACTGCTTATGAACACAGGCCCTGAAAATGTGCAACCTTTCTGCACATTACATTAAACACAAACCAGATGGGCACTGGAAAATCCTCCCCTTTGTTGCAGTGGGCTAAAGGGGCTGGTGGTCAGAAGGTCTGCTTCACTACACAAATAAACAGAAGAGTTTAACTACATTATTCTCCAAAATCAGCAATGGGAAACCTACGTGGAAACATTATGAGCAGTTTGCAAACCCACTCCTGGAGTAGTGTTGGCACAGGGGAGCCCTCCATGTCTCCTACCTGCAGCAGCCAGCCTGGGAACCAGAGCCTTCACCTGCAGCCAGAGCTGACACCAGACTTGGAGGCACGTGGGTGGAGGCAAATGGGTGAAATCAATCCCTTTTCTCAAGGTTGCCTGGGTCAGAGCTGGACGTTTAAAAATGAAAATCACTGTAGAGAAATGGAGCCCTCCAGAGTGGGCTGAGCTCATCCTGAGCAGTTTCTGAGGTAGAGAAAGCTCATCACATTAGACAGGGTGTCTCAACTTTGAAAGTTCCATGAGTGAAATCCATCAGTCTCAGAGTCCTGGGACAGGGAACAAGGGAATTTTCTGTCTCTGGGCTGTACCAAAGGACACGTCACCTTTCATTTTGAGCACATCCACTGAGACATTTCTGGAGGAGCTGCTCTATAGAGCCCCTGCATGACCTCTGGCCCCTTTCCTTGAGTTTGCAAATGTTATCATAAAATTATTTCTGAAATTCACCTGGCCAAATTGACACAGGGAGGGACACGTGGCCAAGGTCACCCACAGAGCCTGCACCCTCACTGCCTTCCCACTGTGCAGGGAAATCATCATCAGTCACACAGGGAGCGGCCAAGGTAAACACAGTCTTGATGCAAGACAAATCAAATGTTCTACTGCTGTTCCCACTGACACAGGTGAGGAACAGCACAATGGCATGGGATGGGGTGAGATGGGATGGAGTGGGATTAGTTGGGGTGAGCTGTACGAGATGACAGCTGCTACCAGCTGAAGAAATTATCCTAGGAGCATTGCTGCTGCTTCAGAGTGTAAGCACAGGCCCTGGTGTCAGCATCTGAGAGGGTTTCAGATGGATCTGGGAGGGAAAAGCAGCTCATGGATCTGAGACCCCCAAATGCAGGGAGCACTGAGTCTGTGGGTGAGTGGGTCTGTGAGGGATGCACGTACGAGACACCTCTGGATCACGGAGTGAGACCTTTGGCACCTGCACAACTGCAGACACTGTGGTTCCCTTGTGGTTCCCAGACTGAAGGCTCCAGAACGCCAGGGAGGTGGCAGCTGGGAAACTTGGTGCCCTGCAGGGCCTGGTGTGCCCATTGCATAAAGAATTGCCTTATTTTTCTGTCTGCCTTTGTGTGCAACCCAGTCAGCCCAGGGATCAGCAGAGGTGTGGGCAGGACACGGTGTGTCCTCACCTGAGGGGTGCCACGTGCCTCAGGAGTGTCCCTGCATGGGGAGATGGCATGGGGTGAGCATTGGGTCAGGGATGGAGTGGTGGAGTCACCATGCTGAGGTCCAAGGGCCAGGAGCTGGCAGGAGCCCACAGATCCAGCACCCACACAAGGTCATGCACAACAGGGCAGGTCTAGACCTCACCTCCAAACTCAGCATCACTGGGACTTCAGGAAGACCCAGACCCAGAGCCACATCTGCCTCTCCTGAGGCTCTCCTGAGACAGCAGGTCACAGCTCTGCCTGGCTCAGTGTGGACCAGAATTTAGGAGGAGACAATGTCATTGGGCATCAAAGCTCTGTGGGACTGGAAGTCATGGAAAGAGGGCAGCCTGGCAGTGCTCCATCCCAGGGCAGGACAGGGGTTACACTGGGCAGGCAGGGGTCAGAATTCCTGCTTATTGCAGAGGTAACAGTCCCCATTTTCCAGGACTTATGCACATAGTCCTGGGATTTTGTAGGCCCTGCCAAATGGGCTTTCTGCTCGCTCAAAGGTGATTTATTTTTACAAATTTAAATGAAATCCCCTCAGCCATTTTTGAATAATACTAGAGTTAAAAAGGCTATTTTCCTATTTAAAAATATTCTAGCTAGACTGTTTTTATTAAATCAAAGTTAAGTCAAATAAAGAGGGCAGTTTGAAAGTTCAGGCTTGGGCAGGAGCTGGTCCTCACTGAGGAGCTGTGCCCTTGACACACGGGTGTCTAATGCCCACTGAGCACCAGCCCAGGGTGGAAAGAGCATGGAACAAGGGAAGATCCTGCCTGGCTGAGGTTTGCTCACTTGTTCCCTCTGGAGATGGGATGCAACAGGGCAGAAGGAGGTGTGGGGGTGTGACACACCTCACAATTGTTTCCCCTTACATTTCCTGGAAGATTCTTATAGACAACAGATGGAATCTTCTTCCACTTTACCCAACTCATTCCCAGGCATTGTGTCCTTCAGTGGCACCATCTTGGGGGTGGGAGGGTCCCTGCTGTCCCCTCTGAGCGTGGGATGAAGGTGGGAGTGCTGAGCACATCCACGGGGGTGCCCTTCAGGAGGGTGAGGGGACACTGATGCCGTGTTTTTTCCCCAAGTCACTCCCAACTGGCCCCCTCACGAGGGATGGGGTAGCAGGTCCTTGTTGTGGCACCCCCACAAATGGCACTGAGGGGGACTGGAGGGCTGTGTCCTCATCAGGGACAAATCTGATTTTGGGCTCTGAGGAGGGCAGCCTGGGGGGCTGGGGGATGTTCCCCACTTCATGCCCAGCTCATGGAGCTGCTCCAGCAGTCCTGCGGGAGCTGTCACACCATGGAATGTGACATCAAAGGCAGGCCCAGGTGCCACATGACGCTTGTGACACTTGGCAGGCCTGCCAGCTCCTGAGATGATGTGAGATGAAGGGAGCCTGCTGTTCCCAAGTGGGGATGGCAGGAAGAGCCGATCCCCTGCGCTGTCTCAACGCTCTAAAGAAAGGGAAGCGGAGCAGAGCAAAGGGCTGGAGGGGTGCCCAGACTGTGGGGGGCTCTTCTCGCTTAGAGAGGGCAAACAGCCCAGTGTGGAGGGGCTGCAGGGGTGCAGCCATGTCCTGGTGGGCCACCAGCCCCGGGGGACACGAACCCCTGAGACGGGGCCAGCTGCCAGGCAGATACTGGCACTGCTACAGGGCTTAGGGCAGTTGCTACCTGCACATCTGCAGGTTGTGCTGGGAGCCTGTGGGCACCTGGAGATGTTTCTTTCTTTCCCTTCTCATAAGAAAAAAGTGTGGAAAATGGATAGAAAAATGAGGATGTGAAAGCTACGGAGAAAATGTGGTTTTCTTTCACATCACTGAGCAGTTTGTCCCTTTACAAGTCCTGTTGTTGCCGTATTATCTTAGGTACACTTTGATATCTGGAGTTGTAGGAAAGAGGAGTCCTCTGGTGTGTCTGAGTCTGACTCTTGGTTGTTTTACTCCAGCCTGACACCAGTACATTGCCATGATGACATCATTTGGATTATTTCTGATTTATAGCGATTGAGAAAAATTGGGTCCTGTACAATAATGCAAACAATCAAAGACACAAAGCAAAAACAGTGCCTTTGGGCTGCACTTTCACATTGCATGATGTTTTGAGGACTTAATGTTGAAAGCCTTAGAGTGCACAAAAGGAATTTTCTTCATTTCATATATTACACAGTTGCCTGAAAGAAATGGCAAACAACTCCTCAGCTTAATCATGCTTTACACAGGCTCAGTTGTGGGGTTTTTCTGTCCATCAGCATTCTACCAACAGATCTCCACTGAAACTCAGAGCAGTGTCTACCAGCAAGAGTAGTTGTTGTGCCCATGACCCCACAAATGATTCTTGCACAGGCCTGGGACGAATTCTGCTCTCTATTACACAAATCAGAAGCAATTTTGGTGAAAGTCTGGAGCACCCAGTACTTGGTGAGAGCAGAGCAGTCTATTGGGGCCTTGGCAAAACAAATACCCTTCCCAGATGAAATACCCTTCCCATTTCTTCTCCACTGATCAACTTCACATCACCCTAATTCCCCAGACATTCTGCTGCTGTGATCAGAACACAAGTCACTTCCTAAGAGATTGAAATTCCACATTTCAGCCAAAATCATACCAAACACTTTGGCACATTACCAAATGCCTCAAGGTTGACAACAGCATTTAAGTCTGTCCCAGAAATACTGAGATCAGTATTCCATTAAATTCCATTAAATCTGAAAATCAGGCCATCTCATGGCAAGATGCTTGACAGCAAACACCCTCCAAAACACCACACATAAAAACAGCAGTGAACCAAAACACCAGATCACTCAGGAGATGCTACAGCAGCGTGGATCCCATCCCATGGATCCCATCCCATGGATCCCATCTCATGGATCCCATCCCATTCCATGGATCCCATCTTATGGATCCCATATCATGGATCCCATCTCCATTCCCATCTCATGGGTCCCATCCTATGGATCCCATCCCATGGATCCCATCTCATAGATCCCATCTCATGGATCCCATCTCATGGATCCCATCCCATGGGTCCCATCTCCATTCCCATCTCATGGGTCCCATCCCATGGATCCCATCTCATGGATCCCATTCCATGGCTCCCATCTCCATTCCCATCTCTTGCCACCACCAGGTGAGGAACTCACCGTTCTTGCGCTCCGCGAAGGGCGGGGGCTGGAGCTTGGTGCCATCCCTCACTTCAGTGGCAGATTTTTCCTTGGGTGCCTTTTCCTCCTCATTGCCAGCTGGTGAGCTTTTGTGGTCCGAGCGATCCTGTTTGATCACACCATTCATCACCGTGCCTGGAGAGACTGGCCCGGATTCTGGCTGCTCCACTTTGGATGGGAGAGGAGCAGACCCCAAAGTGACCTCTGGAAGAGAAGAGGAGCAGGTGAGGACAAATTCCCAAAGCAATCTGGGAAGCAGTGAATGAAGGCAGGCATTTGTGAAGCGATCAGACCACAAACAGCTGATTACTGGCAGTTTGCACAGGAAAATCCCAGGATTCCCTGTTGCCTGCTTGATTCTCCTTGTCTGCTGGACACCTGACTGCTTTTTTGAAGGAATTTCCACCCATGGGCACAGAATATTTGCACAAAGTCTGTCTTCAAAACACACAGCCTTGGGGAACCCCCACGAGAGAGCTCTTGAACTGTTAGAGATCCATGAATCAGAACAGTCTTGCTTTATATAACTGGTTTGCTGAGAAAATTGGAATAAATTACAGGAATAATTCCACACAACCCAGAGGAGGCTGCTAATTATATGATACAGACAGCAAATGAAAAGAGCAAACATCAGTCAGCTTTTACACCAGGAAGTGTACAAACACCCTGCAAAGTAAAATACATGTGCAAAACCTGTCCTCTGACATCAAACTTATGATTAGCACTCACCAGGGCTAAAGGCTTTATGAAGAATTCAACCACGTTAGGTACAAAATGCCAGGAGTTTTAGAAGGGCAGAGGAGTTGTTTTTTTACCACATCATTCTACTCCAAGGTTTACGAGAGGCTTGTGGTCAAAACACATCACAAAAACTCTTAAAAGGTTCTGCAAATTCAGGTTGTGCTTCTATAGATCTTTAGGCAGATGACACTCCCATCTAACCAGAAAGATGATGGAAAGGATTCAGCTTACACCAAACATGTTTGTGGGATGCAGGCAGATGGCCCAGGAGGGGCTGAGCGCATCAGAGGAAAGCTGCAGGACCATCTCAACAGAACATTGTCTGAAAAATCTCCAGATGCTGAGTGAAAGTGAATGCCTCTAAGAATCAGCACCAGCTCCTAATGAGTCCCATCAGGAAAGAGCTGAGGAAAGCTAAAAAAGGTCATTTGTAGAGAACAAGAATAGAAAAGTGTAAGATTGATTCAGTGATAAAATCTGATTTAATACAAAAAAGTTACCAATTTACTGTATAAGGAAGTAGGAACAGTGCATTGCACATGATACCATCTCCTCCACACTGTGTGAGCCAGATCCTCACACTCCTCTCCCCACCCTGCACCAGCAGGGATTTTGTCATCTGCTTTCTCATCCACCTCACTCCAGCCCCACCTGCTCCAGCTTTTCCTGTCCCACCAGCTGCAGCTCAGAGCCTGTGTCTGTCTGTCCTGCCTTGCACTGGCACATTTCACACAGGGTGCCCATGGGCTGGCTGGGAAGGAGGTCCTGGGGGTGTCTGTGTCACTTTATCCCTCTGCAGAGACCACAAAGCTGTGCCCAGTGCCTCACTGGGACAGGCTGTGTGCTCCCCATCACCATCCTCACTCACCACCGTGGCCTTTCCTCATCTCCTGATGAAATTGTTCCTGCCAAGCCTGGCCTGCTGCAAACAGCCCTGTGGGCACCCAGGCAGGCCAGGCCTGTGCTGAGCTGCGTCTTTGAGCACACAATTCCATCTGCCACGTCTGCTTTCACATTTCAGCTCCCTTGAGCAGCTCCAGGTCTCCTTTGCAATGCCCCATCCCTGCTGTGATGATCCACCCACTGTGGGGCTGCAGACCCACTTCGACACGAGCAGCATGAGCCCCCAAACTCTTTATTTAATTCACGACTAGTGTGGAACGTTCAATAAGTGTTTACATTGCTGTTCTAAAATGAACATTTTTTTAACTTCTTGAAGTTGCTGATACGATGCATCTTTCCAGTGGGAACAGAGGGTGATGACAGGACAATCCAGCAAACTGCATCTGCTTACAAAAATGAGACTTTGTTCAACCGAACACTAAATCTTTGATAAATTAGTCAGGGCTTTGGTGACGTACATGTTGAACCAATATGACAGTTTTATATGGATTATGATTATTAATGTTTTTCAAAAATAGAGAGCGTGAGCCAGACATCCAGTGTCGAAGCTGCAAGACCACCAGCCGAGGCGAAAGTCCTTCAGGAAGGCTTCTTGCAGGCTCTGTGTACAATCTCTTCTTACACTCACAGCATATGCAACATTTTAATTTGCAGCGAGTGTGCCGGGGTCCTTCTGTCTGAGCCAGGAGGTCACGCTGTGACCCTGCAGACACAGCCTTCACAACACACTCAAGCACCACTGGCTCAGCCCTGGTTTTTTGGGTTTTTTTTTCTGGAGTGAAATTTGGCCTCAAAACATTCCACATTGTTCCCTCGTTTAGGCTGAACTGATTGTATTTACAAAGCTTAGACACACTTTTGAGCCTCAGAGCACATCTCCCATCAAGCACTGCTGCCAACACATCCACTGCAAGGCTGTACACAGTACAAGTCATGCTCCATCTCTCCCTGCCTGTAAATTTGAAGTTCATCAAGTTGGGCTGTCGTGATACATGGTGGTACGTCCTTGCAGGACACTGGAGATGCTCTTGAGGACATGCCTGGTTTGTCACTTTCTGCCTGGCAGCAGTGCAGCATGGGTGAGGTTCAGGCTTGCTCCCCCCTTTCCATGCTTGCTCACCAAGGCCCGGGTGGGGCTTGGTTGATTCCAGCAAGCAGGTGAAGTTTAACAAAGACAAATGCTGGGCTGGGGAGGGGCAGTGCTGGATGCTGGACAGGCTGGGGAAGGAGAGGCTGGAGAGCAGCTGTGCAAAGCCCTGGGGGTGCTGGGCCATGGCCAAGCTGGATCTGAGCCAGGGGGACATCTGTGTCCTGGGGGCATCAGGCCCAGCATGGCCAGCCAGGGAGGGAGGAGATTGTCCCTCTCTGCCCTGGGCTGGGAGGCCTCTCCTCAAAAGCTGGGGCAGTTTTGGGTGCCACAATCCAAGAAGGACCTAAAGGTTTAAGAGAGCATCTGGATGAGGGGCACGAAGGTGATGAAGGGCCTTGAGGGGCCACACGAGGAGTGCCTGAGGGCACTTGGGTTCTTCACCTGGAGCAGAGGACACTGAGGTCAGACCTCCCTGGGGGCTGCAGCTCCTCCTGAGGGGCAGCTCCAATGACAGGACAAGAGGGAATGGCACCCTTGGATGCTGCCCACCTCCCTCTGCTCCCTCTTGAGGAGGTAAGGGTGCAGCAAAGCCAGACAGGCTGCCCCTCACCCCTCACCTCTCACCATGCCCTTCCACATCCCCTTCCCTTCTCCCCTGTCCCCCAGGCAGCCCCTGCAGTGCCCACAGACACCACAGACTGTTTGGAGCCTGTCCTGCTAGGGCAGATAATTGGATAACTCGAAAATATTTTTATTTTTTAACATTTTTAACTTTTTCTTAAGGAAAAAATGAACTGAACCATTGAAATGAAAAATTATTTTTAGAAGTGGGGAAAAACTTTATCTCCCTGAGAAACACTTTTGGCGTCAGCAGCTCATCTTCCAGAAAACCGATTCTTCGGCTGGAAAACTCCTAAATTGAAAAATTCACTGTTCAGGCCTTAGCAATCCCCTTCACACCTCAGGTGTCCACATGTCAAGCAAGCTCCCTCATCAGGTTTTTGTTTTAAGTTTCCAGGAGCGAGCTGCCTGCCAGGGTGTATACCAAAAATACCAGAGCTAGGATCTGCCACTCCCTGCAGCTAAACCAACATCTCTTGAGCCCTCCTGTGGGATCTAACATAGGGACAGACACTGCTTCCTCTGCTCAGTGCCATTGTATCCCACAAATGCACCTTAGAAACCCCAAAAGGAAAGGAAAATAGGAGATGGAGCATCTACAGCAGCTGGACCTGAGGCATCTCTGCAGGATTGAGAGCCCTGGCTCCTGCCTGTGGCCTGTACAGGGTTGGACACAACACCTTGAGGTGCACTTGGCATCTAACAAGTAGAAATGGTAGAATGACACTCCCATGAGGCTGGGTCCTGCTCAGGTTATGGTGATGCAGCTTTGATGGTGTGCACTGCTCTTCCCTGCTCAGCCGTGCATCTCACCCTCACCTTCCACCTTCTCCCCCTGTGCCACTCCTGCATCCACCAAGGTGGGAATGAGCACAGCTTGCACTTCCTCATATCAGATCCACCAAATCTGCCCCGGTTTTGCTGTTTGCTCTGCTGGAAGTTGAAGTGGAAATAAATACATTTGGCTTTAATGCATGGGCAGCACCTCTTAAGCAATCGTGACCCGCCATAAAACTTTAAATACACAAAGAGAAAAACCAGGAGAGAGGTGTTCAGAGATGCAGTTCAGCCTTATCAAATTCTTCACGTGTTTGTTGTGGTGTGTTTGTATTCCTGGGCTTCTGCTTGCAGGAATGTTGCTGATAAATCCATCTCACTAAACATGGACTTGGTGTGTTTTAGCTGGTGTTTACAGTGCTCAGGCAGTAAGAGTAGCTCTGGATTCCTGGGGGCAAATACCCTGTGGACATTTGCACTGGCTTGTTGCAAATGCTGATCAAGTCCTGCTGTGCACAAGCTCTGCAGGAATCCTGTCTGGTCCTCCTTAGAGCCGTGTCAGGTTTGGAAGGCACAAGGCAGCTCTGACCACTTCCCCCTACACCCAGGACAAGAGACCTTTTCTCCTCCTGACCTCCTTGGGCTGCCAGCACTGCTATTATCTCATGGTTTGCCTTGCAGCCCACGTCCCTGCTGGACGATTCCCCTCGCTGAGCTCCTCAGGGATGCAGAAAGCCCCATCCCAGCACACGATGCAGCCCACGGGCTGTTTCCCACAGATCTGCACATTCTTCTCATGCCCTAGAGAAGTGACCTGCTCACCACTTCAGCTCCAGCAGAGGAGCTGCAGGGCAGGGGGAGCACCTGGAATCCACTGGGCTTTCTCAGTGAACAGGAAACAAACCAAGGAAAACTTCCACAAGCCTGGATCCATCCCCCCTTTGCCGACAACTGATCCTGTGCAGCTTCTTGTGCAACCCCTCCGTGGGGGCAGTGCCAAGACCCAGCAAACAGAGCTGTGTGAACCATAAAATCTTCACTTGAGGCAAACCCGCCCAGCGTTTGGTCACAG